TGCTCGGCTCGAACGTCCCTCGCTCTGGGTTGCTTCATAGGCGCGCTCCAACTCCAAAGAGTTCAATGCCTCGAAAGCTTGTCGCAGATCCATATCTTGAAGAAAATTGAATGTTTCTTAGAATTACTTGATGATTTCCCTTTTGTTTACAGGAACGGCGATTACATTAACGCATCCTACGCACTACCTTGAAAAAAGGTGAGTTTCTATCTCTGGTACTCCATTTCTCTCCTGATAACATGGTTCCGTATTCTCTCTAATGAATTCATCAAATTAAGAAGGATTCCTCAAAACATTTTTACTCCATTCTTTCAGCTTGTTGCTTCGGAGCGGCATCGTTCCAGCTGTATTCCTCACCGTCGGAAAAAGAAATCAAGTGGCAGGGGCCCGATGGGAATGAAATTCAATCTACAGATCAATCTCGTGAAGACAATTCCCGCGATAAAGTGTTGCGGGTACTTAGTGCTCTGTCACGAACCACTATCTCATAGGCAGTCCCTCAGTGAAAAAATAAGGGGGAGAAAAACACTTGGAAACACCCAGAACTCAGACCTCTCCTCAGCAGCAGTCTTGTGCCAATGTTGGCACGCGCAAACATCCCTAAGGCCGCGTTCATACACACGGCATCCGCGGCACCGTGGCCTCCGCGGCCTCTGCGGAATTTCCAAATCGATACGTATACTTTGCTTGCTCTGAAAATTCCGCAGAGGCCACGGATGCCGCGGATGCCGCGGATGCCGTCTGTATGAACGCGGCCTAACTCCTTTGTTGCGCCGTTTTGAGGGGCGAAATTTGTATCTCCTTTGTGACCGCGTGTAACAGCTAGCATGGGGTCAATTTGAGGAACACTTGATCGCAGGGAGTATCTTCAAATGTTGTGAGGGAATTCTGCTTCCTGTGTTGTCATTTCAATTAGAGTTGTCCGAAGCTATTTCTATTCAGTTTATGTGTTTTCTTCAGTTAAATATTAGTTTCGTTCATCGTTATCTTCCAAAAGTTTAACATTTTGTTGAAATCTCGAGTTTTGTTCGCTGGGTCTCTTTAACCGGGTTACCTCTTGTGTTTACCTACGTCTTGTTTGTCTACGCTAAAGAGTTTATTAGTTATCGTTGTTAATAAAGGCGTTTTCTCAACTCGAGTTAACCTGTCGATTGGAGCACCAGATTTCATGTAGACCCCGTCATCGTAGACATTCATGACTATTTTCGGTTCTGAATTGCCTGTTGTGGACATCTATTAAGGAACCCGTCACCATTTGGAGGAGTCATGTCGCGCGCGAGGCCACCAGCGCAGTGAATGAAAATTCTCCTGCTACAAACCCCTGAAGTTGGATACTACATGGCTCTGAAACATGCGCAACAACTTCGCTTTAACCTAACTGCAGCAAAATTTCGCCCTTGGCGGGTGTCCCTTTTTAACACATTGGCGACAAGGCGCCATTTCGCGTGCCTGCCGCGTGGGAAGAAGCAGTTTTTCCCTATTTTCGAAGAGTGCGCATAAATGCTAGGGCGTTTTTGCAGGGATTTTATGGCGCCAGAGGTGATAAATTGGATTCGATTCAGATCTGCTATTGTTGAAAGTTACCTTATCACGTTAGCTATCTACATGTGGAGCTTCAGTTCTATTCATCCAAAATTACCTTTTTTCCTAAGGAAATCACTTTTGTTTGTCCTCGGTAAAATACTCTCAATGACACAACTGCTTGTTTTACAGCTACTGTATATTCTACAATGCCTTCCCGGACAATATGTAGCATGGTGAAAATTTGAAATGTTTTCAAATGGGTTTCTTCCAGGATTTTGTTCGAATTGCTTCTGAAAATCTTTCCAATTTTTCACCACCATGCACAGCGATTTCTAAGCCGGAGGATGAAAAATATTGTTTTCATGTAGAATTGTCGCGGGACGGTGGCGGAACCAGGTGGGATGGTCCCTCAGCTGCCCTCTGAGCCGCCGTGCGAGCGCGACTGCACCGGTGAATAGACCTCCTGCGATCCAACCGGAACTCCCGCAGTCCGACGAGTCTTCCGCGGGGCCACACCGTGTTCCCCCCCACGGTGTGGAGGCCGCTACCCCGGGGGAACCTACTGACCTAGCCCGTGAGCGCACAACCCGTGCTAACCTACGAGGAACCAACTAGCATACAACTGTGGAACCAACAACCAAACACATGAAACCTACAGCGCTCTATCGGGCCCCTTGCCCTGGCGCTCCCTTAGTCCCAACTACCGACAATTACACAGATTTATAATAAACTCACATTTATTGTGTCTCCTATCCATACACGTTGACGGCCTACTCTTCGTATCCTGCCAGCTCACGGAGTCGACCATCCATCATCCAACTGATAGAAGACATAAGCGGTAAAGGCACTCTGGGCGCTCTCGCCCAACAGCCGGTCGCACCCTCGGGCTAACGGGTGCGAGCTACCGCCAGTGCTCCGCCCAGTGGCAGCATCCCCGAAATGCCGCCAATCCGGGCCTCATCGCGGCACCGAAGTGCCCGGCGCTCCCCTCCTCCCGGAGGGAGAGAACGCGCCGACTGGCCAGCCTGCCGCCTTATAAGGCGCCGCCTGGGGGCGTGGCCGTGACGCGGTTTCCTTCACACGCGTCGCGGCTTTAGCCTTAGAGCGCGCCAGAGCCCAGGCGCACGGCTGCTCGGCGGCTTGAGTCGCGTTCCGCGACAAGAATGGTACATTGTGATAACGATGAATGCTGGAATAATGACATCCCGACTCAAAACACCTTTTGAAAATTACCACTATGCACTTCAACTACATATATCAAAAGGAAACCGAGTTCACAGCGTGATTATCAGCTTTCGCGTCCCAATCAAGAGGCCGCAACGCGTACGCTTCGCGCTTGGCCGCAGAGGCCGCGGCCTCCGTGGCCTCTGCGGAATTTCCAAATCGATACGTATACTTTGCTTGCTCTGAAAATTCCGCAGAGGCCACGGATGCCGCGGAGGGCTGTGTATGAACGCGGCCTAAGCGGAAAGTTGGATGGGTCCTCGAACCGAAGCTACGCTGCGGTAAGTGAACTACCGTAGTCAACATGATTGCATCGTGTTGAAACACGATATTGGCTACGTGAACGAGCTGATTTTTTGTTTCTCTTCGAGATGATTTTTCTCTTCGTCTTCAGTATAGTGCATGCTAAAAAACGCTACGTTTAGCGATGACATAATTCCTTTCTTTTGTGCCTGATTAATGTTTCCCTCTGATTCTGATTTCCTGCTTGTACAAGAAATTTAGTCCCCAATATTAGGAGCTGTTCCATTTTCTCTCTTGCTTCGAAAGTGTGAAGAGAGCGCTGCGGCTATCAGCTGGACAATGACAAGGAGCTGTCTCACCTCTTCGAGCTGGGTTATGCGCCCGTCCATCCGCAGCCAACTAGACTACACTCCAGTTCGCTGCGGATGAAAGGGTGTGTCAGGCAGTATGAGTCGTGGTCGAGCCAAACCCGCCCCATGCCATGAGCTGAAGCGAGCATGCGACAACAGTTTATAAAAAACCAGTGATCTGAACGATATCATACAGTCTTGTCACTTGCTCGCTTTAAAGACAGCTCCCGCGATAAAAGTCTCATGGATAGCTGCTTTCCAATTATGAAACAGCAGCTGATAAGTAATCTCCCAAAGAAGAAAACAGGCAAGAAGCGTTCTCCAGAACAACATAAACAAAATCGCTCCCTCACAGTTACACCTCCCTGCGGTCTCTGTGCAGCCCCTAGCTCACAAATCTCTCTATCACATCTCGCAGTAGTTGATATCATCCAGTGCAAAAGAATACAAAAAAAACAACAAAAACGCAGAGGAAAAACTCTGGGAAGGAAAAAGGAATTTTATCAACACGGTGTCTGAATTTGTGATTACGGTAGCGCACCTTTTGCGTCGTGGTTTTGCATCACGAAAATTGCGTCACTCGTGTTTTTTACGCGTTTCACCTCGCGAAATGGGTTGAATTGAATGTATATACCTCCAATGAGTAAACTGTAATGAAGGAGAGCAGAATTATCCAGGGGCATTAGCAATGCCCGCCGCCCCAACTAAGAACAAGTGAGTGGCCTCCGTCGGAGGACATCTAGCAAGTAAAGGCGGTCCGACTGAGGAGGAGTTAGAACTAGCACTTTGAGCGGCTATAGCAGCCTCCACGCTCACAACAGAGTCGCTCTACACGTTTTCTTTCTCGCTCATGCTATAATTCTGAACAGTCTTCTAGCTTGGAGGCTAGACTACTTGCACAGCAAAGGCGACCACGAGCCACTTTGATCGCGGGGGCTGTCTTTAAAGACAGCGCCCGCGATGGACTTTGGCAGGTTTCAGGGGTCACATTTGCTAGAACAGGTGGCCAATGAAGCACTAATCAAAAAAAGCAGGAAAAAGGTGTGGAAGAGCGTGAAATAAGACCCTATGAAATTTAAGGCATGTGGACGAGTTTCGCAAACTTCTGGTGAGTTCTCCAATACACGTCGCCGCCTCGGAACTCTAGAAATTCAGCGTATATCAATGCCAGCAAGCATTGATAACTGTCAACCAGTCGGGGCGGGATTAACAGGACAGGAGGCGTCAGCCCGGCTCTGTTGACTCCGCCCTCGTCAACCAATCGATTTCGAGCCGCAAGAGTGGGATTTCTGCTGTGATTGCGAACTCCGCGTTCGTTTTCAATGGAGGGTTTTTTCACTTTGGTTGATCGCGGACGCTGCCTTTAAGAACTGTTGTTGAACGTGTTTGGCACCGCGCCAAACACGTCCGCCTGACATGCCCCTTCGTCCGCAGCGAAGTAGACTCTACACGTTTTCTTTCTCGCTCATGCTATAATTCTCAGTTTCGCATGGGCACGGGCTTTCTTCCGGTTCCGCAATTCGTCAGATTTTTCTCGTAGCTAAGGTATACATTCTTTTTCAACAGACTCGCCGATATTCGAAGTGGTTGGGTATAAACGCGGCCATACAGTTTCCTGCACATGGCATTTTGCCAAGAGGTCACTTGGTTATCGAGCGTATGGCACGCCTAGTGTGCATCCAAGAAGGTATGCGATTCCCGCTGTGTGCACTCTTGGAAAGCTTTGAGCAGTTAGAAACTTAGAAGACTTGGCAGTTGAATAGCTATATACATATGAGCACCTTTCAACTGTGTCATCAACAAGGTAAGGCTTTAAACTTTGCGACTCGAGGAAATCAACCTTTTGTTAAAATGTGTGACAAGAAACGTATAGCTGTCGATCGGGCATTACGAGAGAACCTGTTCTAAGGTAATCGGTTTTTTAGACAAAAGGTAGGTATCGATCGGCGCCCAAAGCGCCGGCTTCCCAAGGTTGCGCTTCTCGTGAAACGCCGATTCTCCTGGAACGCCGATCGATACCTATACTTTAATTTTTTGTGCATTCTCTCGCAACGCTGAATTTCCTAAAACGTCAAATCTCCCAGAAACGCGGCATTATTGAACTCATCCTACTCCAGCCTTCCGAAATCAGAGCGGTTTTTTTTACCAGCCCTTTTTTCGGCGCCGGCAGATTTAGCTGAAAATTTGCTCACGGCGGTAGTTCGACCTCTTGAACAAGAATATCAGATTCGCTCAGCCCAAAACTGCCTGGCGCCCAAGCCACAGGCGCTGACGCCAGAACACCCATCATCAAAGTCCGTGAAGACTTGTCCCTAGTGGTAGTTTGACCTCCTAAACTTGAATATCACATTTGCCTGGACCAAAATCGTTGCTATGGGCGTCTGTTGCCGCCAAATGGCGCCAGCGCCAAAAATGAACGTCATATTCTTGATCAGAACATCGAATGACATCCATAGGCGGAGTTTCAGCGAAAAAAATTCTGAGTTTGTGGTAGGAATAGTTCAATAGTGCCTAGAACTCCAACTGTCTCGAGTCGCAAAGTATGTCCTGATGTACCCAAAGAGATCTCCCGATTACTTTCAATTCCTTCTTTTTCCTCCGAAGTAACGTGGGTGTCTCATTTCTTGCCGCAAAATCGCATAAGCTGCAGTCCAATGGACCGTGAGAAGATTTGCCGTAGCTATTTTCATTCCACATTCTATTTCATTGTTGCGCAAAGTAACTGAATTATGCTCACTGATGTATTGTGGAGCACATTTTTCTAGGAGACATGGAACTGCCATTTGTCTACATCGATTCGCTTGAGCAAAATGCTGACATCGCAAACGCATCATCGGTACGTACGTCCCGTCTTTTTAAAGTTCTCATACTTTAGCTGCTACCGTTGTGACTGTGTCTCTTGGGGTATTAGCCTGAGCTTGTTCGTAACTTGCATTTTGTCTTATCTAAGTACGAGTCAGATCGCGCAGATGCCGCCGGTCTCTCAACTTTACGTGACACAGCCCGGCTTTGCCGGAGCGACCAGACTCCTTCTCTTTCGCGCGTTCGAAATTAAAAAATGTGACAAACACTCGAAAAGTTCGGCTGGCGCAAACTTTGCGTGTTGGTGACCCTTATGCAACCTTCCACTGACAGGCGTACAGCCTACTGGTACTATGACTTTAGTAATTGCCATGTCACATGTATGGCGTTGTTTCGTCTTTTGGGTGACTTCTTTCAAAGGCTCATCGTTGAACAAGTTCGCTACCGCCGTTTACTACCCTCGTCATCCGGGCAGTTGATTAGGGCGGTCGTCAACGGGCCGCAGCGCGTGCCAGGAACTATTTGCTTTTTCCAGGCTAATTTAGTCATTTTTCCCCCCTTGTGAAGATAAGGAG